ATATATATATATATATATATATATATATATATATATATATATATATATATAATCTTCTTTTATTTTTTTTAATTGGAGACAATTAAAAGGTTGTTACCTTGGAAACCCGAGGCTCGACACCTGTGATGACCATTAGAAGCCATGTGGCTAAAAAGTATGCGTTCAAATACAGAGGAGCGTGCTGAACTATTACTCGATGTGCACGAAATTTCATACCTCCAACTATGAAAGTAACATCAGAACCTTCCCCAGTCTCCAACATACCAAGAAAATGAAACCCTGGTTCATTATGTTGTGGAACTATAATTGATGTAGTACTTATCTCGGTTTTAGGCTGCAATAAAATACCGAGTGTGCATCCAATCTATATAGAGTCACCTCTAACATAGGGAGATTTCTCAAGCAAATCACATATAATAAGGTGAGGGGCTCCGATTTGCTGACCGGTATTAAGTACGATCGGGCCCATATCTTATTTATCGTCAATGGGATATACGGTTAGATGATTGCCCTGTCCACTTTGATCGAGTAGTGTCAAGTTGCAAAAACAGGAATTTGTCACCTCCACGCATACACTTTTTTTCCTTAAGTGAAAGCTCAACCATTTCAGATGGGGTCCTATCAGGAAAGAAGAAAACAACCCATTGATAACCAGCCACAGTAAAAGTATTGCTGCATATGGGGTTTCCATAGCCAACCCCCTTGCATAACGAGTAATTTTCCAATGTAAACAGGTGGATTCCTTTTACCGTCCTTGTCAAGCATTGTGAGGCTGACTTTGTTTCCACGTCTTCTTGTGTGGAAAGGTCACTGAACATAGAGGTGAGCTGTAGTTGGTCCATGAGCATGAAATGTTGTTTGAATGCCAATCCACATTACAACCTCTAACACACATCACTATAATTCGGAGTTGATGTTTCTGGTAAGTTTCATGCAAGTAATCATGCTTAGTTACTAACACACTTAAAACAAAGAAATAAATTTCAGAATAAAACATGTTTCGATCAGTACCCAACCGAGAAAACAAACAACAGTTTGATCATCTCTATTTCAATCAATATAATAATATTAAAAGTGCATCACTATGAACCATCAATCTTAGAATTTGTGACTATTAAACTAAGATTACATTAATACGGAAAAATAGATTCGAGATTTATGATACTAATCGTACAACAAAACAGTCGATTATATTCAGAAACGATTATAAAAACATCAACACAACATTTTCTCCTAAACACTATGTCATCTCTTAGACAGAAACATCAAAAAAATCCCAAGACATGAAATTAATCAAACAAACAAACAAAAGTAAGCAGATAATTAGGCAAATAAATTATGCATTTAATTGATGAAAATGAAATATAGAGAACTAAATTCAATACGGTTCTGAATTTAGGGTAATCACAACAACTGAATTCATTAAATTACAAAATCGATTTGCAGCTAACCCTAGGCTGCTCGTCACTGGAGAAGGAGAATAAAGAATTACCTTAGAAATTTAGTTGTTCTGAGTCTTTGGGAATACTCTAATTTTCATCTTTTTTTTTTCTGCATCTTTTTTTGTATTTAATATCTATTTAAAAATTAATACTGTCATCCCGCATTTAGAATTCTCAATATGACCGGGTTGGTTAGTTCTTAAATATCTGAACAACGTTGCAAAAATTATCATGCTATTAAAATTAAGAGGCAATCAACTAAAATTTTCTCAACCTTAATTTCTTTGGGAATAAATTTTACTAAGTTTTATTTGATTTTTTTGGATAGTTAAACAATTTTTGGCTATTATCCTCACTTGTTTGAAACTGTTGTACTAGATAAAAAGTATATAATTTTCTGCCTTACCTCTATTAATTTTCTACCAAATGAAAAAGTATAAAACCGGGTAGCAGTTCGAATCGGATCGGCCGGTGTAAAGATTTTTTTTTAATTTTTATTTACGGATAAGCCGAGTAACTGGCCACTGCTTTCATGATAAATATTTTTTAGAATTTGCCTATTTGTGCATTATGCTTGGGATTTTTTTTTTCTTCCAAATTTGATTTAGTGTATGTTAAAAAAATTGAATTTTTTTTATGCAATTCGTAAGATTGGAAAAATCAATGTTAATTTAAGAGTAAGATGGTTTCTTGGAGCTCAGAGTGTTCAATACTCAATAGGGGATTATTTTAATTCAGTAATTTATGTTGATGTTCCTAAAGGACACACAGTCTTATGTTTCTCAAGTGTTTGCGTACCTTAGATAATTCTAGATGTTGGATTATAAACAACAAGTTAGGAGGTTCCAAACTTGGCAATTATATATGCATGGTTATCAATTGATTAATTATGGATGTAATTCTTGCAAATATTTGTATGTAGGTATATGTCTCTTCTTGCCAAATAACTTGCTATGACAAAGGTTGTTACCTACCCTTCTAACCTTTGTTGGTGATGTGATTTGTCACGTATACTATTTAGGAGGTCGAAAACTTGGCAATGATGCTTATCAATGGATTCTTACGTGAGAAGTACAAGCACAAGATATCCCGCACCATTAAATCCGAATCCTTCAAACCAAATGCAATCTTGTAGTATAACTTTTCCATTTGATATCATCTTGTCTATATTAGCGGCCTTATGCGGTGTTGCGAATTAACTGAGAAATAAATATGTATGAATCGAGATTGATGCATATATCATTTGATAAAAATGTCTTATTTAACTCAAATTTGGAAATGCAACTATTATTCTTGTTTATCTAAACTTGAGAATAAGTGGGGCAATCTTGCTGCTTTGCCTATCCACTATGCTCTTTCTTTTTTGTAGATTATCTCTCTGAAGATAATTTATGATTTTACTAAATACTAATGTATTAAATCTAAAGTTAGTATGGTAAAAATGAATCATATTTGTTAAATTTAGATTGAAATATCTCTAACTCGGTTGTTTATCAATCAAATTCAAATATTCATAAAACTCCGTAAAATTTCAAATTGTAACTTTGAACAATTATACAGTCAACTCGAGTCATATACATCCCTAATTTTAATAATATTTTATTTTTATGATAAAACATCAATGGATCATATATGATATGATCATCAAGCGGAACCGTACTCCCATAAACAGATGACTTGTTAGCTACGTAACCAGACAAACTCAATAGCTTTAATTAAAAGGTACCCAATGAATTTTGAGGTAGGTCCACTATTATTCTTTCAATTTTCTTAATGTAATTGATGCTAATGGATAGAATATTCCTTCATGTTGATGTATAATATTTCATGTTTGACACACTATCTATCATCTAGTTAATAAAAATATAATAATAATAATTATTATAATATTTATATATAAGGCTAGACTGTT